ANTGTTAAAATATCAACACCTTCTTTTGGGAAGGACCCGGAAGCATCTAGAACAATCCGGAAAAATGTGGAACGTCGTAGAACATTGTGGAAGGTTCCAGAAGCATCTAGAACGACCCGGAAAATGTGGAAGGTTCCGGAACATTGTAGAAGGATCTAGAAGCTTGAGGAAGCTAGTTGAAGGATGTAGAAGATTCTAGAAGGTAATAGAGATTACTAGAATGTTGTAGAATATTGTAGGAACTAGACTTATATAGATAAGTCTAGAACATTGTACATAATATTAGTAAGTTTTAGAATAGCCTAGAAGAGGCAAGAGTGTTAGGGAAACCTAATAAGTGTAGCTAGTTCTAGATAGCTCATTAGAGGGAGGGTTGTCTATAAATAGGCAAGACCACCTCATTTGCAAGCAGAATCCCAATAATCCAAGCATCATCCAAGCATCCAAGAGTCTAAGTAAAAGAGTGAGTGAGTGTCATAAATAGGGTGCTTTGGTCTTGATAAGTGAAGTATTGTAGCCTGGTCCATATTGTGTTTTGTAATTACTTTTTAATCTAATAAAGTAATTACAATAGTGTCCACGTGTTGCGAGTGTACCCAACCCAACACCACCAGCCGTCCACCGGCTCCACGGGGAACAATATGCCACGTCATCCACATCGCAACTGGACTACTAACCAGTACCTTGAACTGTGTTCTCGAGCTCCTTGATTGAGGTGTACATGACAATCACATGGAGTGGGGTCCACTTGATTTTTTATTTTTGGTGGGTCCCACTCAATGTGAATGTTATGTACACTCCTATATACAATATTATGTACTTTTAATATTGGATCGAATTCAGTCAACTTAGTGTGTTATCATTTCATTGTACAATTATATTTCTTCACAAACGTAATACTACGATCCACATTGTACCATAAATCCATCTTGGTGGAATTTTGGATGTCAATATACCCATAACATTTTCAACTACAATACTAGCACAACATAATTCCTATCAAACTGCACAATAAGTTAGCTAAATACAAGAAGTGTGGCCAATTATAAATTTCCATTTTCATTCTTTATATGCAATAAATTTATCTTGTATTTGAATTTCCAACCACTACTATTTCAATTTAATAAAAAAGTTTCCAATCTCGTTACCCCGAAATCATGGTTACGTCCATATTGTTCATACCCACGAAAGCATGTGACCAACATCGAACTTTCTTTTCATTGTGTTCTATAAAGTGAGATTAGATAACGATTGAGCAAACACCCAATTTCGATCATAATAATAATATTATATTATTATAGAAAATGTAACAGGTAGAGGAATACCAAAAGAGCATGCGCAGTTTTATTCAGAAAGTTGGATTAGGAGGCGCACAAAATATTTATTGGGTAGCGCGCATGGCTGATGCGGGCCCCACAAGTAACCACGCTTAGGACATCTTTTTTCACCTGTCTGTGTCCCCGAACACAATTAAATTAAGATGAAATGATAATTACAAGAAAATAAAATTCCCAATCCAACAAAAATAATTATATTATAGTAATTTTGAGTTTTAATCGCTAAGTGAAATGAGTCGTTCATAAAATTGGCTCATTAAGACTCAAATTTAAGTTGATAAATAAGAATATTTACATAATTTCTTAAATTTTAAAATGTATAATTCGAATTGTTTAGAAACTTAAAATTTCTCAAGCTTAGTTTAGCGAGCCGAGCTAAAGCCCAAACTCGATTATCAAAAGATCGAGTTCGGCTCCACTTTATCTTAATTTACTTTGCACTTTATCGAGATTAAATTTGCCGCTAATTAATGTGAC